TGAAGTCAGTATTTTATAAATCGCAAACATTGCGTGGAAACTGGCGTACGCCTTTTTCGTAGCGTATATCCCTTTATAAATGAGGCCCCAGGCCTGAATGAAGTGTGAAAAAAAACTACAGTCTTTGGCTGTGTGAGGGTTCTTCAGCTGAAGAACCCTCACAGCCAAGACAGTTTCTTTTCATGAGACTCCTTTTTAATATAATGTTTTCAGGAGCACACAGTTCTTCATTAATCCAGCCTATATGTTTGCTCTCAAAGAAAACCAGATTGATGCATTAACTTTAAAGGGGACCCATCATGCAAAATGAACTTTTTGATGTCTTTTATACATAGATATGTGTCCCCGGTGTGTCAGGGAACCCACGCAGCGTCAGAAAATAAAACCTTCCCTCTTTTCCTCCGCACCCAAATCTCTAAAAACGGGGGTGAAACGGAGCTGATCCAGATTTGCGTCCGATATGACGTAATATCTGAAATGTGGACCCACGGCACTATCAGAAATGTTGCTATCAGAAACAATGCCGACTGTTTTGGACGTAATATGGTCGGTGTTTACATTAGCATCGCTAACACTCAGAGCTAACTGGAGAGAGCGTGTGTGAAGAAGCTGGAAATAAAAAGGAACTCACCTTGTGGTATAACCGGCAAGAGAGAAAGCATTTGAGCTCCATACTGTTTCAGAAGTAATCCTTGATAATCCATGATATGGCGTTTCATCACGGCAGAATCTGCCGGTAGAATCTCCCGCATGAGCAGGAATAAGCTCCGCCCCTCTTTTTTTATGAATTTCTTATTTAAAAAAGAAAAGAAGCTGTATACCCAAAATCAGCACTTTTGAAACAGGAAGTGAAATGGAGGGATATGAGGCATGGGTAGAATGGGTGACCTGTTTGGTATTTTGAGCAAAACATACGAAGTCAGATTAAATAAAATAACGACTTCTCCAAGTTTATACTTTTCTCCAGAGTGCCGTGGTTCATTGTTTATTAATGTGTTTCAGCGGCATTTACCGACCGCTGCAGTGCTGCTCGTCCACTGGAGTTTATTCTCCCGTTAGCTCCGTTAGCTAATACTTTAGAGCGGCTGAGCGGCCTCTCTAAAGTATTCACTGTCTGACTGTCACACAAGCAGCTGATACATATACCCAATTCCCCTTAAGTGAATGTGTGTCAGTCTGAATTGACGCTGTTTGGCATCACAACGCTGTTATTAAAGTGTCTCTGGTATAAAATGGGTGATGTTAGCATAGCAACCGAAGCTAAACTGACTATCTTGACTACTTGTTGCTATCCTATTGTGGCATAAGCCGTTTTACCGGCGTATTTTTCATTATGATTCTACTTGTGATAGTCGGACACGACAACCTGTGCAGCCCATCTATTGATTCCATCTGATTACTGCTATAATACCAAACATAACGTCTACCCCCTCCACAATGATCAATGACAGCGAACGGATGGTCAAAGTAAGGTACAAATGAACAGAATCACACGAAGCCTGGTTAGTGTTGCCTGGCTTTATAAAGTGTGTTTTTTTTAATTTATATATAAGTGTGGTTGCGTTCTAGTCACTTTGCTCAGCACTGCTGCTTGTTACAACTTTCATTTGCCGTACTTGCCTTTAACTGTTAGCTCAGGTAAATCTCGCCCCCCTCCGACGTAAGCGTGACGTATGCGGTTCGTGCTTCTAGGCCGTCAATTTTTTGGTGCTTAAAACGAACCGGATTCTTAGAGCTTAGAGCTTAGAGGCTGCTCCGGTGCGCTGTGAACAGGAAAAAACGGTGCTTATCAGGCTCTGCCTCCGAACCGACCCTGGAACCGCGTTGGTGAGAATGCCCCATAAGGGTCTGAACAACATACTGGATCAATTCCAGCATGGTAGCATTGTTCTTTCCGTTGCAGGGGTTTATGGGTACCTGACATTTGGAAAGGACGTGAAAGCTGACATTCTGATGTCGTACTCCAGCGATGACGTTCTGATGATCATCGCCAGACTTCTGTTTGGACTCTCCATCATCACCATATACCCCATCATCCTGCTGCTGGGCAGGTGAGGAACGCAGCCTCATGTCGCTTCTGTTGAAGCTTATGAACTGTATCAGTCACTTTTTTAAATGAAATAATTCAAAGTCATTTCAAATAATTACCCGTGCACCTACATTTCTAAAGTTACATTCATCAATCAGTTACTATAATACTTTAATGGTCGGATCAAGCCTGAACAGCAGCTCCATTTGCAACATCAACATGGACCAATATCAAGACACAATACATGAAACAGGCTGCATTTGATCTGGGATTTAACTCCGTATTTACTGTTAAGATTGACTGGTGCACAAAGGAGTATAGTTAAATCAGTAATTATTCAGAACTGTAACCCTTAGAATGCCAGATTGTTAACGTATATAATACATTTTCTGTAGTTAAAGGGTTATTACACCTTTTTACAGTCTGGGATGTGACCATGGTTAGGTGCAACATCGATTATTTTGTTTTTTTATGTAAATAATGCATCTGTTGTTTACGAAGAAAAATATATAATTACAAAAACTGAATTTTATTTCTAAATAATAGGTTTATCGTTTAGTTTTCCACAATCGTAAATATACCATGTTTTTTTATCACACCAAACATAAAACACCACGCAAATATCAACATGTCAAAAGGTATGCCATATGCCTTGCCTTAAATTATTTGAAGAAATGTCTAATAATGCCCGAGCATAACATTTAAGTTGAAATAAATGTTCCCACATTTACTTATTGCAATAAATACAGCAGTACATAAAACCTCTGACCTCCTTAAATGCTCTGCCTGGGTGTCAATGGTTGTGCTCAAGTTATGTAATATATGCTAAACTTGTTGGGCCTAGTACACATACTGTTGTTTTGCGCCTACATTCAAACATTTGGATTAAATAAAAAAGGCTAACGAAACACCAGCAAATACATTTAAGATCATGAAATGTGATTGATTTAAATGATTTGACAGTAATGAGCATAACATTTTTTGTTCCGATTTTGGTTTCCTTCCTAAACAGAAAAGATTATTCGAACGCCACTAATGTTATTGCTGCATTAAGACCCTCTGTAACCTCACTGATAAAACCCCCTCCCGCCCCCCCTCAGATCAGTGATCCTGGACCCCCTGCTGAGTCGGCGGAGGAGGCGTGACGGCGTGGTGTCGGCAGAGTTTGAGAGCCGCAGCCGCATCGTGCTGACGGTGCTGTGGATCGCCGTCACGCTGCTCATCGCCACCTTCGTCCCCGACATCAGCAAAGTGATCAGCGTCATCGGGGGGGTCAGCGCCTTCTTCATCTTCATCTTCCCAGGTAACACTCTGGCTACAGGTTCATGTTCTCTCTGACGTGGTTCAGCCTGTAAACCCTGTGCTGTGTTTGGACAGGACTCTGCCTGATGTTCGCCATGCAGTCTGAGCCGGTGTCCTTTAAAACCAGGTGAGAACAAACTTCATCTAAATGTTAATGTACTGCAAATAAACGTCTGGGTGATAATCCAAAGAACAAAAGTTGGTAAATAAATTAGGTATTTTCAGAAAGTTCACTGTTGAAGCAACCTCTAATATGTACACTGAACAAAAATATAAATGCAACACTTTTGTTTTTGCTCCCATTTTTCATGAGATGAACTCAAAGATCTAAAACATTTTCTATATACACAAAATAACCATTTCTCTCAAATATTGTTCACAAATCTGAAAAAATCTGTGATAGTGAGCACTTCTCCTTTGCCGAGATAATCCATCCCCCCTCACAGGTGTGGCATATCAAGATGCTGATTAGACAGCATGATTATTGCACAGGTGTGCCTTAGGCTGGCCACAATAAAAGGCCACTCTGAAACGTGCAGTTTTGCTTTATTGGGGGGGAGGGTAATGTTGTGAATCGAGTGGCCCATGGTGGTGGTGGGGTTATGGTATGGGCAGGCGTATGTTATGGACGATGAACACAGGCCACTCGATTCACAACATTACCCTAACCCTAACCCTAACCCTCACACCAGATACTGACTGGTTTTCGGACCCCCCCAGACCCCCCCAATAAAGCAAAAATGCACGTTTCAGAGTGGCCTTTTATTGTGGCCAGCCTAAGGCACACCTGTGCAATAATCATGCTGTCTAATCAGCTTCTTGATATGCCACACCTGTGAGGTGGGATGGATTATCTCGGCAAAGGAGAAGTGCTCACTATCACAGATTTTCAGATTTGTGAACAATATTTGAGAAAAATGGTTATTTTGTGTATATAGAAAATGTTTTAGATCTTTGAGTTCATCTCACGAAAATTGGGAGCAAAAACAAAAGTGTTGCGTTTATATTTTTGTTCAGTGTATAGATACAAAGTGTATTGGTGGCTCTCAGGATGCTGATGTCTTTTAGTCAGTTCAGTCTGCACGTTCTTCAACATGATGCATGACAATATGATGCATTCAGAACAAAACACTGACACTCACATGTCAAACACACGTTTATGATACTTGCACATTTTGCTCAGCAGAATAATCTCCACATGTAAGCACAACTTTTATTTTGAAATGCAATCATCAGAAGTAAAAAGCTAAACGCTATCAGCAGACTACATGACGGTCACATGACTCACCATCCACATCCATTAAGCTAAAGCGGCTAATGCTCAGTGTACAGTCTAATTTAGTCACTTGTTAGTAACTGCTGTTTTTATGACCTGAAAAACTTCAGACATTCACCAGCGGGATTTTTTCTGATATATTTTATGTCATAAAATAAAACACGAGTTAACCACAGACCTTATTCAACATGTTTTTGATCTTGAAACAAGGGAGTTTTTAGGAAGTGCTTAACTCATTCTTACGTTTACGACTCATTCCAGCACCGCTCTGAGTCCCTGTAAGGACCCAATGACCTCTAGCATATTTCCCCTCCATAAAAATGAAAGTTATTTTCGACTACTGTGAGGCTCCACAAACGACTAGATCATCAATAGACATTCGGTACTCTTGTATTCTCTTTTGTAAAATTGTAATAAACAATGCAACAAATAGGGCTTACCTGTGACAAGGTGAGAGCACATTTACACACGGCATCTATTGCACGTCTGTCCGTCCTGGGAGAGGGATCCCTCCTCTGTTGCTCTCCCTAAGGTTTCTCCCATTTTTCCCTTTAAACTGTGGGTTTTCTCTGGAAGTTTTTCTTGTACGATGTGAGGGTCTAAGGACAGAGGGTGTCGTATTGTCATACTGATATTCTGTACAAACTGTGAAGTTCACTGAGACAAATGTAACATTTGTGATATTGGGCTATATAAATAAACATTGATTGATTGATTGATTGATTGATTGATTGAGCACATGGGGGGAGGGGGGCTGGGCTGATAAGGGGGTTCTCTTGCAAGCTCTTTTAACTTTTACACCTGGCTTATCGTAGCAATTAAGACCACCAGTTGAGTCAAAGATCTCACATGTTCCTTCTCAGAGTCACAACTCACATTCCAACGCCCATATTACCAATCCAGATATCAAAAAACACATTTGGCAGTATGTTTATGGTCAGGAACTCTTTTGGATGCAGGGGGGGAAAAAGAATATGCTCAATGTTGCATAATGTTAAGGACCTCCCAACCACACTTTTCTTTATATTTGTTCAGTATCAATGTAATCTAGTGGTAGTTGTGAATGAGTGAACCACACAGACTTTGAACACCCTGAGATATACAGAGGAGATGATGCATGCTTATTTACTGATTGATCTGAGAGGTGCTTGTAGCATTAGCCTCAGTTCTTATGTGTCTCCTTGTATCCCCCCCCCCCAGAGTGTTCCTCACAGGGTGGGGAGGGGTGACCCTGCTCTGCGGAGCCTTCGTCTTTGGACAGAGCACCACCATCGCCGTCATGCAGGTCCTGGGTAGGATCTGAGGGTCCTTCAGTGAGGACCGGCCACCCTGGACCTCTGATATGGCCCCTGAACTATCAAGAGGCCCCTCAAAAACGTGCTACTCATGGCCTTACAATGGACTTAACCAGAACACGCCCGTTTTCCCCTTCAGTGTCGAGGTACGTTGTTTTCCTTTGGGTTTGTTGTTCTTCCTTGCATCCCGACAAAGGCCTCGTCTGCTTCTCGCCATGCGGAGATGATCTGATTGAAAACCCCAGGTGTTGCTGCAGTTTATTGTTATTTTTTGCATATTTTATTGAATATCTGCATTCAACCTACCTATTTTCAGAAAACAATTACATATGTCTATGGATAAGATGAAGAGCTTTATAAAGACTTGTCGGTTTCTTGAACACCATATGAGACGAATACTTAATTATCAGGAATGTAACATCAAACGGTTATAACATTATTCCAAAATGAAAACTGGAAAGCTATAACCATATGTGCAGTAAACCAGGAATATGTGATTGTGAATATTTAATATTTCCTTTTGTTTAACCACCAGTGCTTAAGCGAGAATATTTTTGATGTTTCTGTAAATTGGGATGCAACTGTGTAAATAAGTCTTGTCATATGTTTTTTTTATGTAAAAAAAAGAAAAGAGTTCTGGCATTTGAAGAAATTGTAACTGAAGTATAAAGTAGACAACTTTAAGTAAACATTGCAAAATGAAAAGATAATAAAATACAATAATTTTTATATGAAACCTTCATTGAATGTGTATTTTTTTTTGGCTGTTTTAGTATACTTGTAGCAAAAAAGAATCTGGATGGAAATAATAAAACATTGGATGTCTTTCTGCCAGATAAACTTCACAAATGGGCTGCAAATTATGATTATTAGGTTGCTGTTTTCTTACTAAATGTATTAGCTCCGCCATAGATTTAGTTTTAGTTTTGTTTGACAGCAGGCTAAGATAAGATGGACCTTTTTAATAATCTCCATAGGGAAATTCACGTGTCAAGGCAGAAACAGGATTGCTGCCAAACAGAGAACAATGGTCAAAGGTTCTTGACAACTTGCCACCAATCACTGTCCGGTCAGCATTTTCTACATTTTACACGTCTAATTTACAAACAAATGGGTACATACAATAATTTGGACAAACGTAAGATGTTATGTTAACTGCTAACCAAACGGTGGCTTGTCATGCATACTTAATCTACCAATAGATTTATATTTGCTGCGATAACTCGGTATAGTTCATTCCCTGTGTAGCCTGTCTTGTTACTGCAGTTCAGCAATTCTTTTTGACACTTGCAGTAAACGGTCAGCAGATAGCTGAAACCAAAGCCCTTTAGCGTCTTCTGCTAATGTTGGCTACGTCCCACTCATTACGTTTGTCTGAAACAAATCAAATGTGATCCAATCGGGGCTTTTTTGTTTGGTTAGTTTGTCATGCAATTGGCTAGTGACCATGTTTGAAATGTTGAATTGAAACGCTTAACACTACTTTGCTAATGGTTAACCAACACGTTTGCTAGTATCCTTCAAAGATGGCCGACCTGCTGTTGATGATCTCTTAATCCCATTCCCTATCGTGCATGCTGTCTTTTCTAAAGTATACTTCACTTTTGACACCTACCGTAAATGTGGACCCACTTGATGTGATTAGAATTAGGGTGGATTTGGAACACACTGTAACTATGAAAAATAAACTGAAAGTGCCCCTTTAATTCAAATGTATCTTATCAAACCGTTAAGTGAACAATTGTGTATTCAGGATTGTTTTATTGATGATAAGACTACAATCTGCCAGAATTGTTCCGTATGAAACAAACACCAAAACAAGTCATCGCCAGGATTCAAAATAAAAGCCACACAGTTTTATATTTTTATAGTTTATTGAATTGCATCACTCTACATCATCTAGAATTTCAACAAGACCAAATATAATACTTGCATCCCTGCGTTAAGTCTCTACACTTAAGAGAAAGCTGTATTTTTTACTGAAACATACATTAAGAATTAATATTTCATTAAACATTGCCATAAAAGTGAATGTTCATTCTTGTATGCCATTTTTATAGTCATATATATTTTATATAATAGGTTTTAGTCTCTGTCTCCTTCAAAGGAATACTAGAAAAGGAAAAGGTAAGAAATGCACAAAACCCATTGAAGAGTAGCATGGCCTAATACTACAGCAAAGAACTTACTGGACATTCAGTTGACATGCACTCAGTTGAAGGATAGAAAAGAACACAGCCATAGAAAGAAAGAGTCGTAGCACTGATCTGTTTCCTGATTGGCTCATGAGGTAAACCTGGTGACACGCTTCCTCCGTTTCATCTCTTGTTGCCAGGAAACATTCAAATCAAGGCCTGTTTCAATAACACAACTCTTTGATTGTATGGCGAAGCACAGGTTGCACTGAAGAGTATTAAGGATAGAAAAGAACAGGTTGCACAGTCTGAGGGACATTCAGGAATGTATCAATAGGAAACAGTATTGGTATTTCTGACAGTTCACTCACTATCTACCTCACATACACAACCCAGCCGCGTGGGCGCAATGTACAGGAAAAGAAACCCTCGCTAAGAGCATGTGGGCTGCATTCAGCTGAGCACTCGAGTACTGTAAAACTATGGCTATCAGTATTAGTAGGTCACTGACATGTAAACATCAATCCATGCAATATGGCTTTATGTTTCTATTCGTAATACGGCAGCTCCTTGTTGGACACAAACAAGATTTGGAACAGGAGTTATTATTTTTTGTTTTTTTTCAGAAGTGAAAGATTAAAGGTACCCTGTGGAGCTTTTCTTGTAAACTAACTTGCTCTGTCATTAGCTTAGCTGCAGATTTAAGGTTAAGAAAAAGATCCGTAGTCTTGAACAGATTCCTGTCCGTTAAAGCCCATTGGCTGTTTCCCAAGAAGCTGACATTAACTCATTAAGAACTGGGGTAGAATCTACTGTTTTACACAATTTAGGAGATTTAAAGGAAGTTAGGCTTTTTATTACTCTGATCTTTCGGTGCGTGAGAATATGGTGTTATAAAAGCAGCAATTAATGAGTGAAATGTTAAAGTCACCAAAAATAGGTCTATCCTCAAAATATTCAAAGCAACTTTGACAATCAGTATTTTAGTGCTGTCGTTAACTTCCCCTTAAACGAGCCCAAACAGAAGTAGTCCTTGGTGCAGATTAAAAAGTGTTCGACCTTAGAAGTCGTTAACTGAGCTCCACAGGGAGCCGGGGTGATCCTGATGCAGAGATATCGTTTCTGCTGCATGCTGCTGAGGGCAGGGAGAGAGGGTGGCACGGAAAACTGATATCCTGAGATGGGATGTATTGCAAGATGTTACATTGATTCCTGCTGCTGGGAAGGATTTAGAATAAGAGAACATATGATGATGTTATTTTTACATTGGTCTTTTAAAAAAACAATAATAGCCAAATAAATGTCAAAAATGTAGTGTCCAACATTTATGCATCTCATTTAGGCATTTATTTAGATAATGAAGAAGTACAAAAAGGAATATGTTTAAAGTAACATTTTCATAATTATGATTTAGCTGCAGGTTGTTTCTGGTTCTTTACGTAGCTGGATTTTAAACCAATGCTAGTTTCTCTTTGGCTAACTTGCAGCTAGTCTAATGCTAATTGACAGAGCAGCTTTACTTTGAGGTCCAGCGCCATGAACGCATTTCATTTCTTTTAAATCTAGTTTTATAAACCTTAATTGTCTAAATCTGGGTTTGCAGCACAGTAGTGTGAAATCAACAGCGAGACAGTAGGGTAAGTACACACTGCTCCACAGCGCTACTAGTGGCTAAACCTCCACAGGGTTCCTTTAACACAGACACTGTGATTAGTACAGACATTTCACAAATAAAGCAGCAACGCCTCTGCATGCCTGTTCTAAAAAGCCTACTGTAATACATATGTTCTGTTACAGCATATGTAATAATATTCAACACTTCCACATTCCACACAGTCCTGCCCCGCTCAATGCAGCCCAGCGCGGTGCTAGATGGTTCATCATTGTCAGTGTAGGAGGATCACACTCACTGGACCACAGCCAGGCAGAGAGCAGCCTGGCTGTCAATCACATGTGAAAATAGAGATCAATAGTGAGGTGGATGGAAAGATGGGACCTTTTTGAAAGATTACAGGAGTGATTCATCAACACAGCTTTAACCAGATAAAGTAATACTCTACATCTTGAAATACTCTTATCATTCTCTATAATATATCTTTAAATCACAATATTCACTCATTCTTACATTGTGCCTTCTGAGTGAGAGTCTGATTGTATTACAGTAGTGGTATTGGGGGGAGGTCAGGTCAGGGGGATGGAGCCCGGGTATTTTTGACCTGAAATGAACCTCAGGTCTTGGTCAAGGGGAATGGATGAGATTTGTGCCTAAAATAACAGTTGGGTCAAGAACACGGTAATGGCCGAAGACAGTAAATGTAGCGCAAATTAGAAACGATTATTTGGTTTGTTTAGCTAATTATATTTGAACGAAAGGTTTTCTTCACCAGATTTGTTTTGTGTATCTTTTGCATTGCGATGTACAGACGTTTGGAGGAATTGTTGACCTTCGATATTACATTAAAATAGTATCCTTACGATAGCTTCCTGATGGGGGTCTTTTTCTTTATGTTTAAGAGACCCAGTAGATATGGATTCTAATGTCTGTCATGTCCTCTTTATATGTATTGAGCCCTTCTCTCTTATAGTTGGGATTAATGGTGGAACTACATGTGACGACCGTTGTTCGAGATGCAGAGGTGGTTGATCTATAAGCTACGGTATGCTAAGAGAAGTCAAGGTCATTTTTTTCCAGTGATATGTTTTTACTTAGCTGAGAAAGTTTCAATATAATGCAATGGAGAATATGTAACAATATGTCAATGCAACACAAAACTGGGGTTGTGTAATCTGATGCTAAAGGGCATTCCCTGCTTACTGGGAGTTTACATCACACCAAAAAGATTATTTTGAAAACCCTAAAGAGCTCCCGGAATATGTGTTAATGTTTAAGGCTTCATATTCAATGTCATTAAGATGGGTTTAAGTTTTTTGTTGGTAGGTATTCAGATTCAAACAAAATGGTACGAGAATCTGCAGCGTTTCGAAGGCAACTGCCACTTTCACTAAGGAATACAATTTGCACCATAGCACTAATAGATTTCAATAAATACAAATATAATAATCATAGAACCACATTTTCATCATGTACAATCTCTACTTACACAGCTAATATAAGTTACCCATCGCAAATTTAGACAAAGAATACATCAACAGACGGCAGAAATGAAACAAACTGTATGGAGAACAGTGAGGTGCTGCCTTTGTCTCTCTACTTAGTTTTTTCTGTCTCAAGGTAGCAGCAGATTCTTGTCTAAGTCACAAATGATCCCTAGACAGCAAAACACTTTTTTTATCCCACCTCTTAAATGTCAGTGCTCAAAGGGTCAACCCCAAAGTGAAATAAAAGGTACATGAAGAAACATAACTCGCCAAATTCTATAAATGTTTCTCTCATGTCTGTCAATCAGAACCATCTACATATCCAAATATTTGTGAAGACCGACATCTTTTCATAATTCAGGATACCAAACTGGCTTATGTCACCATCTGATGAACTGATAACTGATGTCTGGCTTAGCAGAGATTTGGTTTGTGTTGCTCATTAAAACCATGTGCTTTGTTAACACAGGATGATAAGTTCCTCCCGTTAAAGACATTACTCCCACTGCAGCCATTCTATATAAATATACTCGGGGTGAAGATGCTTAACAAGCTCACGCAACAAATGAAGTTGATCTGAAAGTAAGTAGGTCTTAAGTTGCAACCGTAACCCTGGTTCTCAGGTGGCAACATTGTTCAGAAGACTCTAAACCTATAGTGAGGTATAGAGCAAAGTTATCGTTATTATAGAGGAGCTTAGTGGTCATTTTAGGACATTTACTTTGTTCAACTTGTCCACAGGTCAATGCTGATTAGCTTTTGGTTTTATTGTTTGTTCGGGAACATATTTTAATGTCTACCTTGTATTATTTAGTTGTATAAATGGACAATTGTATCCGCCCATCCGCGTGGTGTCAGATTACATTTGCGAGCCTGTTAGAGGCATCAAACATAAATCAGGCATTACCTTCCAGAATTCTTCTTTTTACAAAACAATGCTATGAAAATAATAATATAGCTTTTGGCTTCATAATCTAACATTGGTGCTATCTCCAGGTCCTTCTGGAGAACTCACACACTGACATTATGTGGTATGTATGGATATTGCATCTATAATCAAATTTGTTTGAATCAAGTTTTATCAAGTTATTACTCGTGATGTTGATGAGTTTCGAATGGCTGATGTGAGAATAATGTCCAAAGCATTTGGTCAGTTACAAAATGAAAATGTAATTATCAGAACACTTTGTATGGGAGCAAATGTGGAATGAACAGCTACTATGAAATAACGGCTAACTAAGGTCATCTACCTGTGGTCGACCCTAGCAGGAAAAAAAAAGCCACATTCCAGAATGCGCTACATTAAAAACTCTACGCCAGGGTCCTTGCTACATGACACACTCCACTTTACAGTGGCTCGAAGCTACCTGAAACATGACATAATCCAATATCTCCAATATAACTATGGTGAGATGCAAATGCATTAGCCATCTCACGTTGTTAAATGCACTGTTTGTTCAATTTCTCACTGCAGTTGACACCATACATTTGCACTGTGTAAACATGTACTTACAAAAAGAGTTGAGGAATGTAAGGGTTGAAAGACGAGGGGGTTTAGGGGGTGTTAGAGTGGGTAAAACGCAGGGAGGGGAGAAGGTTTGAGGGTCGGAGGAGGAGTTCAGGAGGAGGTGGGGAGCGTCCAGGAGTGGTGGCGTGTAGTTGAATATCTTCATGCTCAGTCCCTGTTCACACTGCACCAGGCGGCTGCAAACAGAGAGGGAAGAGAGAGACGGAAAATAAAATTAAGTCCAGAGGGAAGGAAAGATAATATCGAATGGAGATGAAGAAAAATGTGGCGAGGCAGCGAAAGAAAGGAGTGGGGAGGGGAGCTTGACAAGAATAAAGTACTAATGGCAGTGTTCCAGGCATCACCTCAGGTCACTGCCTCGGAGAATGGATGAAGGCCAGAGTCTGGCGTTTTAAATGGTGCCAGGTCGCTTTAATTGCTTAAAATGCCTCTTGGCTTCAAGTGATTACAATTACAAAGTCAGCCTATTGGCTACACACAAATCACTCTTTAGGACTATGAGAAGACCTTATTATCTTTCAGTTCTGGTCTGGAATTGTGTAGTAGAAAAGTACTTACTTTCTATTCAATTGTGTCATTGTTTTCTATTCAGTGCTGCAATGTGGATAAGTTGTTAAAAATCTAAGTTTTGAATAAAGAAATATGAAGTTTGATGGGCTGATTTTCTCGGCCTTATTTACCTATTTTTTTTATTTTTAACAGACTAATCATCAATAAAAAGAATAATCGAAAGACATTTCTTCCACAGGTAATGTATTCCCAATGACAAATAAAACTTGTTGCAAATTTTTTTTAAATCGGCTAAAGGAACTAAACCGCTAAGCTAAATGCAGCTAACGTTACGTGGTAACGCTTCGCAGTCTCATTTAACTACTCGTTAGCAACTGCTTTTTTTAAAAGCATAAAAGGTTCAAAATTCCCAAGTAGATTCAAATGAATTGTTTTAGATCAAAACATGAAAATCTCTTGAGTTTTTATTAACAGAACTCATTTGAGGCATCTAAAATAAAGGTTAAGGAAACATTGACTTCAAGACGAGAGTGCCAGCAGCTACAAAATGCCCATTTTGGGTTTAAGGACTCATTCCTGCACAATTCTATAGGAGTGCTCCTTTGACTGATGATCAAAATAAACGTCAGTCTACTGTTTTACTGTGTAGTGTTTCACACTGACCTGGCACGGCTACAGAGGACACGGTCTCCGGCTGGCACAGTGTGTCCACCTTCACATGCTGGAAGGCTTTGTTGGGGGCCGACTGGAGGTGCCTGGAAGTAGAAGGGAGGGTTAGAGAGAACACGCACGCACGCGCACGCACACACCACTTATAAAAAGCATGCGGGCACACATGGCCTCAAACCGCTCAGCACGGCCCTTAGCCTTTACTGTAAGAGCTGAAATGTGAATGGTGTTGGGAGGCTGTGAGCAGTGGAGCAGAAACTCAGACCAGCAGGCAGCTACATCAGCAGCCTCTCCTTATGCCCAGCACCATCACTAAATCATGAAGACCTGACGCAACTCAAGTGCTTCAGCAACTCCGGAGTGAGTGAACGTCTGAAGAAAGCTAATTAAATGTGGTTGGAGGAATTTTTCCGACGGGGCAGATGACAGTAATGGAAGAAAAGTGAGCGCTCTCTTCATTTGGTAATCAATGAAAACAATGGCATCCTGCACTCCGACAAACTTCCAGAGGAGTGCTGACTCGCAGACTTTTTCACAAAGAAAATGAATGTCCTCGTTCAGTAATGACTCACTTGGCAGCAATGAGCCTTCAACTGCACTTAAAGATGTTTTATTGCGCCTGTTGATTTGGCTCATAACAAGTAGCGTCACTGCTGCATTGACGCTTTTACTTTCAAGCCTTATATATATATATATATATAAATCAAATCAAACTTAAAATGGAAATAAAATGTATTCAAGTACATAAAGCCAAAGGTAATTGAAAACTCACCGCTTCCACTCCTCCTCTCCATCCCAGAACTCGTAGACGACGAAGGATAAACCGTCCGGCAGACGCACCGCAGTCACACTGAGGGGGGAGGCAGAGAAGAATTGAGTGGATCATTGAGGTGAAAATGTGGCATGGAAAGTGATCGGTGAGAAAAAGAGTTATGACAGAATGTTGAGTGGATCACGGAGGGAGGAAGAGGAGGGAAGAAGAGATGCAGGTATGAAGAAGAAAAGGGGGAACAAGGAGTAATAGAGAAAAAAGATGGAGAGAAAATGACAAAGGGGAGGACATTTGATTGAAATGAAAAACAAATAGATGGTGAAGTGTTTCCTCTTCCAGCACAGCATTGATGGGAGGAAGATTGCATCCCATCTTTAAAATGAAAGTTGCAATTTTACAACAGAACAATGTGTGACCCGGTCAGTGTGAATGGGGGGAGTTGGACGTTAATGGCCATTTTTATATAAGGCACTTTAAAGGGCCCATTTTGCTGTAATGACTAAGGTTTATTTTGCCTCAAGAAGAACATTAATGTGTTGGAAATAAGCCACAGGGGGGCCTTTTCCATGTTTACTTGATATTGTCACACAGCGTTCCACTCCACGCCCCCTAATATGGGCCTTTTGTTGCCTTTTTTATTTGGGGCAGGAGATCTCTAGGGGGTAGCAGGGTAACAGCATATGCCAAATAAAGGTGGTTTACATCACCTGGAACATTGGGAACATGAAGAATAAATTGAGATGAAATTGTTTTGGTTAGGAACCTATTTAAATTACAATGTTTTTGTATGCCTAATTATATTGTTGCAACAATTTTGAAACAACTTGTTGAAGAATAGTGGAACATTTTCAATTTTCTATGGAATATTTCATTTAAAAGGTCCCCTATTATGCAAAATTCACTTTTTCACGTCTTTTATACTTAAACATGTGTCCCCTGCAGGGACGTGCACAGACATTTTGGGGGGCGGGTGCTCAAGTGAGAAAAAGGGCACTTCCCATAATCATTAATAAACATTTTTTTAAAAACAAAACGTTAAATATAGTTGCACATCTCTGACTTACTGACCAATTTATTTGAATACCCTCACACTCACGTAATTGTTTAATACTCAGCAGACAACAAACTAGTAAAATTAATAGTTATTAAATGAGCAGCCAACAATCAAAATTAGGAAGTTACTGTTTAAGGACATTACAGGCAAAAATATCCTGCGATGTCCGCACCGCTGTGCAGGAGACGTGGAGGGAGGGCGGGCTACGGAACTTCACAGTCTAATCTCCCGACCTGATATTTTGTATTCAATCAATATATTTTTGGAAAGGGAAACTGTGCGCAAACAGCAGTAGGCCCCACTTGTTATTTTGGTCTATTTTGCTTCCATGTTTTTTTTCACTCTAATGGAAATAAAACTTCCAAGAAACACATATAAATGGTGTTCGTTTTACTACCATGTCTGAATTCATCTATAGATTTAAAGCTGATCTGCATTTAAACATAACATTTCAGGGGGAAATACTGACTTGACATAAGTAACGATCTGGGGAAGTTGTGAGGTGATATGTTTTATTGGTTTATGTTTTAAATATTCTCTCTCTTTTTGTCCTGATCCATTTCTATAAAAACCTGTCTGAAAATGAGCTGATCAGATTTTGGCCACTTGATGATGTCATAACGATGTTTTGGCTTGTGTAACCATTAGCCAATCAACAACCAAGGTTGGGGGTTAAAAAAAAAAACTTAGTTAAAAGTGTTAAAAAGGTTGGAGTTCATGAGCATAGTTTGTGTAAAAAAAAGTAGCCTAACTTTGAAGCAATATTAAGCCTTCTTCCTAGCATTACTTGGCACCAATAGATTCCTCACGTTATCTCGTTTAGATGATGTCATTCAGATTTAAACTGAGCCTGAAACAGATTCATGTCAGCGGAGGATGCTGTTGCCCTTGCGTAGTTTAAGAGGTTAAGGTCAGGAGAGGTGGACATATTGATCAAGTCTTATCTTTCTGGAAATGTCCATCATTTGACAACAAAAGACCCCTTCTCACATTACCTTATCATTGAATACATTCTCAACATAAAATATAGCTTTAAACCAACATCTGTGCTTCTGAATATACGCGTATAGCTTATTCTCACCATGGTATCACCCCTATGTCACCACTGGAACCAAGACTGGGTTCTAGTGACATTACTAATTTTACATTATGTCTTTAAGGTGACGCTTTTATGCAAAGCAACTTACATCAACTCCAATATCATAGAAATGCATCGGGATAAATTGGGCTTAAGTATCTTGCCCAATGACACTTGGAAATATTGACTGCAGGGGGTGGGGATCAAACCACTGACCCTTTGATTGGTAATCCCAATCCTGTTCCATGTCTAAGCATTGAATATCAGAATATTTAATATTGTATGAAGTCTTTCCAAAAGTCTATACATTTAATACCAGTTTACCGTTATCTACTTACACTCTGTGAATCTATTGTAAGAAGATGGTTGTAAAAGAGTGTTTGACAAGGCCCAACCGCATCAAATGTAGAGACCTGCACCAATGCAGTGCCATCCCATTTTCATCCGTGCAAGGTCCAGTATTTGCACTAGCCTGTTTGCTAAATGAGAGAGTGCAGAAGCTGAGGTTGTGTTATGTAGATCAGGCGGAGTGCTGCAATTTTGGATCTTGTTTCAGCATAAAATTACTCTCATTAATGCCAGCTACGGGTACCTCTTTCAGAAATCAATTTCCATTCCAATTTTCCAGACAATTGTCATAGTGCAAGCGCAGACCTCTCTGAAGATCACATACAAATAACTCTTTTGCATTGTTGTGAATTTGTTCGACATCAAGTTTAAAAGGCTGGAGTGTTTTCCTTTAAAAGCAGATTGGCTATTCCACAAAGTTCATACAGAAAAAAGCCGGACATTAGATACATACATAACATCTCCAGCAAATGTCTAAACAAAATAATATTCAAGATAGGAATTAAAAACATTTTTTAGAATGAAAATTCTACTTAAAAAGAAACATTGCTTACACTGAAAAGTTGAATGTACTGTATGTTAATATTTGTGCCAGAGATGGATTACTCGAGTCCTGGACTCGGACTCGAGTGCCGATTTTCGGGACTCGTGACTCGACTCGGACTCGCGCACTGATTGAAGCGGACTTGACTCAGACTCGTGAATTCTCGCGCACGATGACTCGGACTCGGGAATTTTTAGCCCACGATGACTCGGACTCGACTTGTACATTGACGCTCCGACTTGGACTCGGACTCGAGCAAGTTTTGTCTCGAGTCAGATATACTCTGTCCTGGCGTGTGCACCTGCGAGGCGAGTTCACGTACTGGGCCCGCTGTCACAGTCTAAAGATGTCCAGAGACACACCCCGCATCCTGCTGTATGCTTTCACACATTCTGCTTCCACATTGGAAAAGAGCAGCGCAAAATGCTCGTTATGTGGAAAAACGTTAATAACGAGTTAACGAAACAAAAAATGAACGCCACTAATTATTTTAACGCGATTTTTGTGTATTTTTTGTCCTCAGCTGCCACGTAGTTTCAGAGCGCAAAGCATTAACGTTGTTATTGATGTTGTTAGGGAGGTTCTACGAGCAGAGAGATTCATATTATGGACTCAAGAAAAGGTATTTTAAACGGCAAGTTCAGCTTCAAAGCCCTACCAGAGGGTTCTGTCGACCAGACCAAAGTAATTCGCATTTACTGTCAATGTGAATTGAGTTACCATAGGAGTACATCTAGTTTAAAATATCATCTGCAAGCCAAGCACACATTTGATGCTGACAGCCCCGCTCCTGCCGCATGCTTGCGGCAGACAACACTTTTCCGGGAGACGCCTGGACACGTCAACGCGCAGCAAGCTCTCTACAGCGATCGCTAAATGGGTGGCTACAGCTTGCAGGCCAATAAACATTGTGGAGGACGAGGAACTGCGTGATATAATTTGGGTTGCATCCAACGACTGCACGTATGAATTGCCTTCCAGAGCCACCACTGTGTCGAAAATACACAACTTGTATGAAGTCCAAAAAGCGAAAGTAGAGGAGGAATTAAGGAAGACTTCCACAGTTGCGCTCACCGGAGACTATGGGACTTCACTGAGTAATTACGGTTATCTCGGGGTCACAGCGCATTATTTTGACCCACAGTGGGAACTTCTGTCTCATGCCCTGACTGTTATGAAAACAGAGGAGCGGCATATCGCAGACAGCTGCGCCGTGCACTTTATGCAGGTAGCCAGACAGTGGGACATTGTACCAAAAGTCAGTATACGCAACATGATTGCAGCGTCCAGGCAGCTCCTGTTCCAGCATATGCCTTGCGACAACGATCCATCACAGTGTCTCTCCAGGACAGTCTGTTTAACGACGCATTGACAACACCACCACAACACACAACGACACACACACACACACAGGTGTGGTGTGTGTGTGTAAGGAGAGTGTGTGTCTGCTGTAAGAGACAGGTCAAGTGTGGGTGTGGTGTGGTGTGTGTGGTTGTCTGTGTGTGTGGTGTCCGTTGCCTTGGGTGGGTGGTGTGTGAGCCTGGGTGTGAGTGTAGTGTGAGTGTGTGTTGTGTGTGTAAGAGACAGAGAGTGTGTGTACGTGTGTAATAGAGAGAGTTGTGTAATTAAGAGAGAGTGTGTGTGTATAGTGTGTGCCGTGCGTGCGTGGTGTGTGTGTGTAGTGTGTGGATTCATTATTTAATGACGTCCCGAGGTGCGTGAACAGAGCTTTGATTACGTCAAATTCGGCGAGTCGACAACAACCGAACCATTTGCAACCAACAAACATACCGGTCGTGTAGAGAGTTCACAACTAGAGTCTTATACAGATCTGTACGTAGAGGTCACATGACAAAGGTAGACCACCAGTACAGGACACACTCACTGAGAAAGAAAACTGGTGAACGTTAAACGAAAACAAGCTCGAGACGACGTAAACCGCCCGATACGAATTTTTAATGGGTGATGGAAAAGGC